CCCCAAAACCCCAAAACCCCAAAACCCCAAAACCCCAGTAAATATAGAGGAATTGAAATTATTAGTACTTGATTCGCACAGAAGATAGCTTATTGTTGGCTCTGATCTCTATTGTTTTATCTTTTCTTAATCATCTCCCATTCTAGTAGATGCTCTTTAATATAATGGGACATTTGCTCTATTGCTATGGTTTCTGAGCTATCTGGTTTGATAAAAACTGAAATTATTTCTGATTTTCCAGACTTTAAACTTGCTACTGATTTTATAGCTGTAATTTCATCCTTTGATTTTTGTAAAACAAGTTCTGCATTCTTGTCTAAACTGCCTTTAAATAAGATAATTCTCCCAAACATTCTTCTGTACTGTTCTCTGTGGACATAAATCTGGTCTTCAGGTCCTTCTGAAGCTGGTCTTAACTTCATCGCTTTCTCTAATAGAAATTTCATCCCCATCATATCTACAGCCTGTCTAGCCGTTTCATTCATATTGGCACTCCATTCAGCAAAATCTGCTACTTTTTCACTGAAACCTCATTTGATCAATAGGAGGATCTGATAAGAACTAATTTGATCCTTATTTCTTGCTTTCTTGATTCTAGTCCTTTGCATTATCTCCTTTACATTCTCTAGCACTACTCTGATCTTTCTTTTTAATTCTACATACTTCTTGTAGTCTTCATATCATATCTCCCATTCTCTCTTTGCTTCCTTTTTGTTTGAGATCTTTAATGCAAGGTTCATCATTCCTTCTCCTATCATATCAAGTAAACTCTTGATATAGTCAAGTCACTTGGCTGGACTAGCTTCATTCTCTTTTACTCTTTCATTTATCACTGCAACTCAGGCACTTAGCCACTTTTCATCTTCTTGCATGCTTTCTAAGCTATAGTTGCCGATATGTAAGTAATGAGCTAGCTTGGATCTCCATTTATCCATTCTTACTTGTAATTCTTGGGATTGCTTTTCTGCTTCTTTGCTTTCGATACGCTCTTGGAAGTGGATTTCAGCTGTTTTTGGGCTTTCTTCTTGCTGTTCCTTTTCTTCATGGTGCTTCTCTTCTACACCTGTCTCTTCAAGTATCAATTGTTAAATCTTTTCTTCTCTTCTCTTCTGAGCTCTTCATTTTTGTTGGATTTATTTGGTATTCCATCCTGACTAAAAGTTCACTAAAGAATTAATTATTTAAAAATTTTCAATTTTTTTGCATCTAAATGGGGTTTTGGGGTTTTGGGGTTTTGGGG